CCCAGAGTTTCCTCCCCCAGCTCAACTTTGCTGCCTGGAGCCAGATCTGGGTGGACCCCCCAAAAAAACACAGCTACATAGAGCTACATCCCTCTCCCCCCCACTCCCCCTGAGCCAGACGAAGAGCTCCCCCCAGCTCCTTCCCTACGAAATGCCACCTCCAACAAGTTAAAGGGACGCTGGACTTCGCTTGGGCCAAGCCAAAGCAGCGGGGCCTGGCTATCTCCAGCGCAGCCTTGGCTAGCTGAAGGGAAAGGCCTGCATCTGGCCAGCGGTTTAAGAAGGGGGGGGAAGATGGCGATGCACTCCCAATACCCACCCTGAAGCCTGAGCGCCCCCCCATCCCTTCCCCCAAACTATAACTTCCCTTCTTTTAGCTTTCACTTTAATAAAATAATGATTCGTTGGGAAAATGGGGTATAAATCTTCATTTTGGAGGCAATTAAAGTGTTGATTTCATTCGTGCCCCTAAGCGATTCTTGTAATTTGCTCAAATGGCTTTATGTACCCGGCGCTCCGGAGCTTTTTAGAAGCCCATTTTCTAGTTAGACTTGTTGGATTGCAATTTGGATTCAACAGCAGCGGCTCTCCGAGTTTTTCCTAGTCTGGATGGGAGCTTCACAGCTCCCCGGGTTTAAAACGTTATCTCGGCTGCGCCACCCAACAAGAGCATCCCCCGACCCTTCCTCCCCACGTTTCCATCTTGTTTGCAGCCCCTCATGGAAAGAGAAGTTGAGATGGACAAGGGGGACTAGACTGACCGACAGACAGAAGGAGCGCCGTGCTATCCTTTAGGAACTGTTCAAAACTATTGCAGTCCCAGCTTCATTTTTTTTTTAAATCCCAGATCCCTGGGTTTCTTGAAGGTTCATGCCTTAAGTTAAACCCTGCTCCTTCACTAGGATATAAATAACAGATTGCCTGTGCGTCTTCCGTACATAGGGGGAAAATATTTAGGGTAATACCGAAACTGAAGTGCAGTGCAGTGCACCTTTAGGTAAGTAATCTATGAAATAACTCCTGGTTGACACTGTTCTTGATAATGGCAAAGCAGCTAAGGAAACTCCTGTCTGCTTGACTGCGCTTTGCTTTAACAAAAGGAAGCCTCCAGAGTCAGCTTGATTACTCCTAAGACTGTATTTACGAACCAGATCATATAGAAGAAATAACTTCAGCTCTTAGTTGGAACAATAACTGTTGTGTGGGGGGGGGGTGGGGTTCACGGCCAAACACTTGCAAAGGAAAAAGAAAAGAAAAGAAAAGAAAAGAAAAGAAAAGGACCCCCGCCCCCAACACACACACACACATACACACACACACACTTAAAGCATTACACAGTTCAACCTAAGGATTCCCAAGCGCCTAAATAGTCCAGAAGCCTGCTCTAGCTTTGGTAACCTCTTGAATTAACCCAAAACCTTCCCATTAAAAAAAAATCACAATATCAGCCAGGGAAGGGGGTGGGGGAAGCTTGCAAAAGTCATCACTCCAGCTCGCCCTGGGTGTAGCAGGCAAGCATGGGGCTCTCTCCCCGCTCTAACACAGACATGCTACAAGGCACTAAAGCAGCATTTTTGAAGAGACGGTTTGAAAACTTCCGAGATCAATGAAAATAAATTAAAACCTTGGTCTCGTTTTATTTTTCTATTAAGGAAAATAAAATGGGCGCGCTTGCAGCAGGCGGCCTGTGCACAAAGCAATGTTCACTGAGGTCTAAAAGCGTTCGGCCAAGGAAAACTGACAAGACAGACTAATGAACCGTAGAGACAGGAAGAAAATAGCCAGTATTTGCTAGATTTCAAACCCTCTCTGTCTTCCCTGGACCACCTATCTCGGATTTTATTATTATTTTTGTAAATGGCTCCAGCCAGCCCTTTCTAAGCAACCAGAAGCCACCGATTCGCGGCTAACGCTTCTATTATGATAAAGGGTAAATAAAATAAAGACAAAAATTAAAAGCGACAAGAAACAGGTCAAGTTTGCAGGCAATGCTTTTACAAGCTCATCTCGCCAGGTCGAATCCGGGAGCAAGCCTTAATGAAGCAATAATAGCCACATTATTCAAAAATTTTCATTTCGATGGAAATTTATCTAAAAGGGACTTAATCATATGCAAATAATAAAAGGAGGCGTAGTGACCCAGCAAGCGATCTGCATACAAATTTGAGCGTGAGCAATCCTGGAGAGATCATACCTGATCTGTTAGATTTGCTGATCTTGTTATGTCTTCACTGTCTGATTTTGATCCGCCTTCTCTATCGTCTATCACCAAATCGATAGGCATTTTTCCTTTCAAACAGCTAATATACCGGTGGCAGAAATTGTCACATAATTCGTGTACCTACATTATGACAGAAGTAAGAAAAAATGAAAATATAATCAGGAGTACATAAGTGAAATTGACAAGTGCAATCAACCAGCCCCCCAACCCCTTGTGACATCAAAAGTTCTAAATAGGGGAAACACTGCAATTATCCCCCGGAGACCTCTAGACGCATCCAGAATTAGGAATAACTTTCTTTTCTCGCAAAATAGAGATATCCCAGAAAATTGACAGTGACAAGATGATTCACAGGCTACAACATATTCAACACCCGTGTTAAATTCATCTGCTCCCGGAGCTGTGGCCATTAGAGAAGTGACCTGTATGGGTGACATTTAAGGTAAACTATTTAATTTCATCCAGTTATTTCATCACAAACCCTTTCCAAAGGGGTATGAAGAGAGAAAAGGTGTTTTGTTGTTGTTGTTTTTTAAAGCAGATGCACTGCACTGAAATGCATTATAGGCATCCATGACCTTAAATCCCGAGTCACTGTAATATACTTGTACTTGAGCTTCCACTATTAATGGGTATATTTTAACACATTTCACGTCGAGCGAGAACAACCTGCCTCTTACGGCTCGATAAAGTGACTGAGGTTCTAAAGAAACTTTTCAACTCTTTTAAAACCTCTCAAAATGTTTATTTTTAGGAGAAAGGGAATTCTCTGGTTGGCCAGCTATCAATTACGTTTTTAAAATCCACAGGCAACCTGAGTGTGGCTTCCAATGAAACGTTCGTTTGAATTACATTGAATTATTATTATTATTGCTGCTGAGATTTTTAGAAGAGCAACCAAAAAAAAAGACTGCACGAGGGCTGCATCCTCTTTCTTCCGCTTGGAGGTGTACAATATGCACAGAAACAAGAAACTGACACAACTATCAACTCTGCTTTGTCTCAGCAAAATGTTACAGGATAATCTGTGCCCTGCCTCTGACCTGCAGATGGCTCTTAAAAAAAATCCCGACCAAACTAACTGAAACCAAACAAAGTACCTTCACCCCCGCCCCCCACCAAAGAAAAAAAAAAGATTAAAAAAGAAATCTCAGGGCCTGGGCTGAAATAACAAACAAACATCATTCAGAATATCATTTGCGGCACACAAGACTGCAATTCTTTATCCACAGCCAGCAAAATATTACAATGAACTTTGTAACAAAGTATTACAATGTCGGGGCGTTTGTGAGCCTGGTTTTAGAGGCTGAAATTGTAATTAAACTGCGAAGAGAAATGGACGCCAAGATTGGTCTTGACACTAATTACCAGAAAGAAAGACATTTATGCAAATTTACCAGAAGCCTGAACTTGAGCAATACCGAAACGTATGAGGAGGAGAGGGGGAAAAAAATTACCTTCTCTAATTCCAGCAGATGAAACCTTAATACTTGTATGGCTTGAATCATCTGCAAAGATACAAACAAGAGGAGTATCTATCTCATTCCTGCATTTCTGCACATATCCCCGCAGCCGCCCCTTCTGTAGTCTATAACTTGACTTTTTAAAGTAGTAAATAAAAAGTTGTTTTGATTTATGGCAATAACACTAAAACTTAATAGCAGTGGCTTTGTACGCTGTTTAACAAGAAGCGATCTAGAGTTTAAAAAAAAACCCTATTGCAATGAAGCAACTAAATTATACGGATCATAAAAAATTCCTTAAAAATGCAGTCTAAAGCTACATCGTTGGCCCCTCGTTCAGCAAAGCAGGGAAAAAATATTACGAAGAAAGTATTTGTTTATCCTTAAGAGGGGGGAAAGACTGTATTTTCAGTCAGGTAGTTAAACGGTGCATCTCCATCCACAGCCTTCGTTTACATTTCCCATAAAGCTGTTTAAAAGACCTCAAATACACTGGTGTAATCGTAGATAAATCCACGATCTGCTTAGGCAGGAAAGACTGCCATAAATACCCCAAACTCTCGTTTGGGATGGTGCTTTCTTTATGGACCTCGTTATGCGATTTTACTTAAACAGAACTGCTACACTGTATTACTTGTAATTAAGAAAGCAAGCAAGAAAGATCCACGTAAGAAATGCTCGATTTAGACCCCAAACGCTTGTCAAGGCTTCGAGCCACCTCTCAAAAGACCCAGGAATGATTTAAAAGAAAAAGAAAAAGAAAAAAAGGGAGCGTTGTGAACTCTTACCAAGTTATCCAGTTCAGGATTAGAGGAAAAGAGGGGTTTCTCTGCTCGGATCTAAATATGAGAAAGGGGAGGGAGGAAAAAAAGGATTTGAAATATGGAAGCAGAAAAAAGCAGACGTTATTATTTCTTGCTTCATTACACTGTCGGGTCCATTATGTAACCTTTCGTGCAAAGCTCTGACTGCTAGATTTAGTACATCATAGAAACACTTAAAACAAGTGAATCAAATACATCGGGAAAAAAAAAACACCCGGCCAGATCTTAGCAGTTATGTGTAAGCTAGCTCGGATCCACAGTCAAAGTTAAAAGAAAAAGAAAAAAAAAAAAGAAAAAGAAATACATAGCAGAGATGTTACTGAATTGACTGGGATGACACCACGGAGCTATTTGGCCACTTTAGCAGCCTGCCTCTCGTCAAAGGAGACTTGTCCCCTTGCTAGGCATTTTCTTTTGCCTTCCACTTATTTTTCCTCCCCGAGATGGATCGGTGCTGACCTGTTTGGCGAACACTGCTATGTCTTCGTTGAAAGACTCTGAGGAGCAGACATCGCCTCCCGCTACCCCGGGCTCCCGGGGAGTGCATGTAGCTAATTCACATTTCTCAAAAATCAGTGCTAAAAGAGGGAACAGGGGGTGTCTGAAAGAAAATACAATAGTCACAGACAAAACAATGGTTAGTCCCGGAGCAGTGCGGGCAGGGCAGCAACCAAGGTGATCTCTCAGCGGAGCCCAGCACCTCCACCCCGGCTGCACCCCCACCCCCCAGCAGCGCTCACCTACCCTGCAACCGAGAGCCCTGAAGTCGAAGGCCCTGAGCCATGGGACTGTGGCTGATGATCGCTTCAGCATATCTGGCCAGAGAAATTGTTAACATTTGCTAAGAATAAAACCAAAGCGGTTCCAGCAGCCATTTTGAATGAACTTTCCTCTCCTCTTGGTTTTTATTTTAATTTCGTGGGATGATGACTTTTTTATTATGATTGTGATTAGTTGGTTTAAACTCCCTTTCGAAAGAAGGACTTCCTCGGGGAGAGAATGAGGAGTTTGGGGGGGGGGGGGGGACACCAGGCTCTCTGGAGTCGGATGTGGAACGTGTAAATCCCACTTTGCTTCGGTAGTGTTCAAGCTGGGAGCTGCTAACTTGGAAGGCCAGCTAAGCTGCTAGTGAGTTGCCCCCATCCGGGCAGCACAAAGTGCTCCAGCGCCCCACATGAACCAACTTCAGTCGCCTGAGCACGCTTGGAGATGGGGCAGCCTTCTCCGCCCCCCCCCTCACACACACACACACACACACACACACACACACACACACACACACACACACACACACACTTACACTCCTAACAGGCGCTGCCCACCCCTCTTTTCTTTTTCTTCCCCACAGATTATTGTACAAATTGGGCTGATCAGGAGATGCCTTTAATATTTAACATTAAATGCATCGAACCTGGAAATATATTTACCAGGTGCTCTGATTTTTCTCTCAAGCTTCAGTAACTCCCAAGGAGAAATTCTAAGTAATTCCTTGAAGAGCTCGACGGATCCTTCCCTAATTTTCAGGGTCTTTCTAACAATATGGGCTCACTTTCCCTCTCCCCCCTTCCACCCCCCGAGTTTCATACCTATTCGAGAGGCTTGTGAACAAAGGGGTTTAAGCAAATCCTGCAGATTGGTGATAAACAGATAAAGAAACAGGATGAGAGGCTGGTTCTGCTACAAAACCAACTCCTTGCAGCCAGATTTTAAAGGGGATCTGAAAGTTGACTTCAACTTAATTCGCGGCAAATTAAATTTAAAGGCATCTCCTGATCAACCCGACAGATCAAGCCCCATTGCAATGGCCTAGAAACTATTTTCTAAGTCGTGGCACCGAGATGTACCAAATGCTGTTAGGAAAACAATAAACAGGACACCGCTCAAAGAAACAACCCGTATATGTGCTCCGCCACAGCGCATTATATATTAATAAAGCTAAAAGTTTGGTTCAGCGGGGAGCAGTTCAAAGTATCTTTACCTCTAAACTCTTTGCAAAGATTTACTTCCCAAAACAGATTGCACCATGGAAATCTCCCCCCCCCCCTTGGATCGCAGCGTTAATGACTGATTTTCTTTCAGCTCAAAGCTTGGCGAGCTTTTCTGTTTTAAAGTTGTGATCGAGCCCACAAAGGAGCCTACATTTAGGAAACTAAGTTGCTTTCCATACAAGGGAGAGCATACACGCACAGTCAGTCTCTCTCTCTCTCTCTCTCACACACACACACACACACACACACACACACACGCACACAAATAAGGCAAGTTATCATATTTTAACTTGAGCCATACTTCTGGGAAACTTCGTACACAGTTTGAGCTCTTTGGAAAGTAAATCTTCTTTATGGAACATTTTCTCGTCCAGAGTAATGCGAGGCAAAGAGGGAGGGGAAGGGAAAAAAATCCACCCTAAAATTTGCATGCAATTATCATGGGTCCCAAGCATTTACCTACTGTCTGAGGTTCAGTGGCTTTACTCTGCCTTCATCAGCTAGGGAAAGAAGGGAATAATCACATCTCGACTAATAAACCTGATGCCAGCTGTACCTACCCATAAATGGCATCTTTATCTCTCTTTAAAGCGTCATTGACAGAGGAGCCCATGCTGGGGGGCATGGCGTTGGTGTGAGCTGTGTGCGGGTATTGATGAGAGTGCAGCGGAGGACCGTGATTCAGATGGTGAACAGGCTGCATTGACCTGGCGGCATGAGGATCCCCATACATGGTGGTGGGGATCCCTACTCCATCCATCCCACCGTAATGGGGTATATCGTCGTACTGCATGACAGACAGGAAAAAAAGGGTCAGAAGGCCAGTCGTGGCTGGAGGTTCAAGCGGGGAGATGCAAGGCTATAAGAGGGGGGGCTGTCGCCTGAAATGGGACCGGGCAGTGCTAGACCTAGGATCCCAAAACAAAGCAGCCCCCAAATAATAAGGGAAGAGAGTTCTTAAAAAAAAAAAAAAAAAAAAGACAATGCTCCAATAGGCCTTTAAAATGCATGCATTCAGGATCCTTCAAAAGCATCCCGGAGCAGGGCAGAAGGGGAAGTAACCGAGGTTTCTTTGGGCGGACGCTCCAAATAAATACATTAGGGCACCGCTGAGAAGTTGCCTGGTTCAGCCTGCCTCTACAGCAAAAGTTAAAACGAGGACACCTATTATTAACACGTGAATAAATGCGGGCTTCTTATTCAATGTATTTTTCTGCGCCTGTGTGCCAGCTTCCAGAGTGGAGGGCACTTGCTCGGATTTAAATGGCCAATTCAGCTCTATTTAACAACAAAAAAACCCCCCTCTTCAACACTGGCTTGCATGCGCCAGCAAAGGCTAAGCCACGTCTCTAATTATTGCCGCAGAATTTCAAATTCTGCCACTCCCATGTGGAGGGGGAAAAAAGGTTGTCAACTGAAGCAGTTATTAATTTTAAGGTACCCCGTCGTAAACTTTCCTCCTGATCAGAAGTCTGACTCCCATGTATCAATGATCATTTCCTATGCCAAAGTTTAAATAGCAAAAGAGGGGAGATTTTGGACTCCCAGCTCTTCTACACACACTAAGGTCAAAATGCTGCAAATGTTTGCATTGGGCTGCTGGAAATTCTGAATTTCATGTGAAGGGGTTTTCTTTGTGAAAGATTTAAGAACCGAAAGTTAAAGTGGTTCGGATGCAGAAGAAGGGACTGCCACTTCTAATCTATGGAAAGCAAAGGCGTGAACAAATAGCTTTAAAGAAGGCTGACACTTAGCTGAACTGAAAAAGTCAAGGCAAGTTTGTCAGTACAGTAACTTTCTTTCACAAAGAGTACTCGGGGGACAAAACACAAATTATGCAAGCAATTGTACTTCTGGACCTTGCTTTCTTTTAAAAACTCTCTTCGCTAGGCTGGGGTGATCCCTCCCAACCATTTTCCCCAGTCCTCAATTCAAGTGGTAAGTCTCGAGAAATAAAAAAAAAATAGCATTGCATCCAAAACAGCACTGTCTAATCATAGTAAATTCATAAAGTGCATGCTCGTTATGTCTAACTCCAATTTAAATAGGCAACTTGGCCAAAAGAGAGTTCAGACTACAGCCCTGCACAGTTGTGATGGCAAAAAAAGTTATGTTTACTCCAAGTTGCAAGTTATCTTTTTAAAAAGCGACCCTGCATATCATCACTACCATAGCAAGATGTTCAGAGACATGCAGATCTTAAAATATTTTAAGCCCTGGCGAGTTTTAAAAAGGCATTGTTAGAACTTTATCTGTAAAACTAATAAATACATAAGCTTATACCTGCAGTTGCATGCGATAATGTCATTAATACAGAGAAAGCTTGCCTTTTCAATGAGATGTCTGTCACAGGCATTGATAGAAGCAAGAAAATGTCAACATAAACAGGTTTTAAGTCTACAAGTAAAACTAATAAATCCTCTCCCATCAGGACACCGCTGTGTGTCTCTGATCCAAAGAGGAGGCAAAAAAAGAAAAAAGAAAAAAAAAAAACTTTTTCGCAGCGTGTCGGCCACGTTTCAATATTATTTCACATTTGAATTCCAAATTTGTTGTTTTATACGTACCCTTTGCGCCATCGGCCTGGCTTGCTCCCTTCCTACTTCAACTTCTAATATATCCTCTTTAAGGCCAGTGTGAAAAGAAACAACGCAAACTCCCCCCCCACCCAAAAAAATTTGTCAAAATCCCTTAGCGTCGCCAGCAATGGGAGCAATGGAGTAAAATCTTCAGCTTGCTGGATCTCAGAGAAGCGATACAATAATTCAGCATTAAAAAAATAAAATAAAAAAAAATAAAAAATAAAAAAACAAACTCTCTCTCCTTCTCTTTCTTTCTTTCTCTCTCTCTCTCTGTCTCACTCTCGCCCTCTCGTTTCCAAGACAGCAGCGGGGAGAAAGCAAATATCCTTTCCCCAAATCAGTTTTTTTTTTTTAAAAGTGCCCCTCAAACCCAACTACCAAGTCTCATGGCTTTTTGCCACTCCAGCTGTCAATCAAAGACGAGGTTGTCAAGGTGGTGAATGAATGATGACGATCCGCTGTGTGTGCTTCCACTGGTCAGGACACCTCAAATGTTAATATTCAAATGCATAAAGGTCTAAAGCGCTGGCTTTTTTTTCCTTGAATCAGTCCTAATTCCTAATCAGCTCTCGCTCCCGCTCTCTCTCCCCCCTTTGCAAGTGCTGCAACTGGAGAGGCTAGAGGAAGAGGGTTAAAAAAATGTCTGTCTGAGTTTGTCTTAAAGGAGCCACGATCGATGCTGCCTGCTGCCAGTCCCCCGTGCGTGTGTAAAGTGTGTGTTGCACAGGCGGAGAGGTGGATTTGGACCAGAATGCTGGAACCCGGAAGTAGTGGTGGCCATAACAGGTCGCGTCTTACACAATGCACTGGGCTGCAGCAACTGCGCTCCCAGCGCAGGGGTGGGTTGGGCGAGACGCGAGCGGCGGAGCGGGCGGAGAGGGCAGCTGCAATTAGCGCCGCGCCGAGACGACC